ACCACGACGCTATATCGTAGATTGTTAACTCATATCTTCATTAACAAAAGTTTTATTCTGTTAGAGTACATCTCTTCTAATTGACGTATTTGTCATATGTACTGGCTGCATTAACCTGAACGCAAAATAGATATTTAATACATTAGTATGCCTTTAGTAAATATAGTATTTACATTCGTGTCTTCTTTGTTGTAGATTAGAATGAACAACAATGGGATTATCCTCTTTCCATGTACTGGGGTAAAATATGCCCAGTTAATTTTGTACAACAAAGGTAGTCAAGATGTCAGCTACTTCAGAGTTACAAGTACATGTGGTCTTCTTGTGCTGGAAAATCCGGAAGATGTACAGTTACATGTATTAACCAAGAGTAAGAATCTAAGTTTGTACTTCATAAGACTGCACGCATTGAATTATTGGAATTAAAACAATTGCTCATAATAAGCTGCGGATAAAAGAAAGTTTATGATACCTTTGCTTTGAGGAAATTAGAACTCGAAAGAGAAAAATTGGCTATTGAAAATCGGCTTAAAGAATTGGAAACTGAAAAAGAGAAAGAGAAAATAAGACGTGAAGATAAAAAAAAAAGATGAGAGAATTTCAGCTAAAACAAAATAAAGCTGTACAATAAAGATAATTTATAATTAAAGCTGATCATGAAAAAGTGATGGATCGTTTTATCTTTCCAAGCAGATTAGACTTGTTCCATCCTTGTCTGAACATGATGTTGAGAAATTTTCTTACATTTTGAAAAAGTGGCTAACATTCTGAAATGGCCTCAAAATCAGTGGACGACGTTTTTACAAATTTTGTTTTGGGGAAAAGCTCAGGAAGTTTATTCTGCCTACCCATTGATAGGAGTTCTGACTATCAGGTTGTTGAGGATTAGGTATTGAAGGCTTATGAATTGGTTCCTGAAGCGTACAGGCAAACGTTCTGCTAAGAAGAGGGATGGTCCTACGTTTGTTGAGTTTGGAAAGGAGAAGGAAAGTTTGTTTGGTAGGTGGTGTAATTCAAAGAAAGCCAATGTTGACTTTGATAGTTTAAGGCAGTTATAATTAGTTCTGCTGGAGTATTTTAAGCAGTGTGTGTCAACGGACATTCCACCATATCTTGAAGAGCAGAAAGTGGCTCAGTTACACAAGGCTGCTACATTATCCGATGATTATTCGCTTACTCACACGGTTAGGTTTAAGCAGCGAGGGTTTACAGGCAGGAGGTCGCAGGGTTACAAATCAGTAAAGCATAGTTCATCCTCACGATCACCCAGGTTCGGTTCTATCACGTCTGGTTCTGAGTTTGTTGACAAAAAGACAAGTTCTACTCCAGTTGGTTCTAAAAGTACTTCTGGGTTTTCGTCAGGTCCTACTTGTAGATATTGCCGCAAGCCAGGGCATGTCATTTCTGAGTGTAGAAAACTCGCTTCAAGAACAGTCATCCGTTCCCGAATGTTTTAGTGAATGTAAGGTCACACCCTTTTTGTGGTTCGACCATTGAGGAGTTTGATCTATTGTGGACCAGTCATTAAAGTCTGTTTCCGTGGGATAGAAGTATTTACCGTTTGTTAGTAAAGGTTTTGTGTCCGCTAAAGGTGATAGTTCCAATGTTAATGCGATTACAGTTTGAGGGTCTCTTCATTAGTAGTACCTGTTTGCCAGCTTCTGAGGAGACATCAGCCAACTCTGAGGTTTTGTTCAAGGGTTTATGTGATTTTACCAGTGCACCTCACCATTCTGTGAATATGAAGACAGATTTGATGTATTGGTTAGTCAAGGTTGGGGGAGTAGAAACTCTACCTGCGTAGACTTGCTCCCTGGGAATGATCCGCAGAGGGAAGATGTTTAGCTAATCCTGTTGCTTGTCTTCAGCCCAGCACTTCGGTAAGTACTGAAAATCTTGAAAAAGATAATTTCAGGTATTTTCCTTTTGTGTGTTGATACTCGTGCTACGGCTGAACAAAGTACTTCTGAGAATAATTCCTCTTATGATTTGGCTGGCATTTTTCTGGATCATTCTCTTCACCAGTCTAAATGTTTGAGAGAGAGAGTACTCAAACTTCTGACAGTTTGGCTGTTGAGGAACAAGTTCTGGGGAGGGAACTGTAAGTTAAGTTAAAGGGGGAAGACCCAGAACTCAAAGTTCTCGCCAACAGAGCACTCTCTTTAGAAGAAGCTGACAAGGTTACAGTTTGCTATTATTTCAATTATAGCGTTTTGATGACGAAATGGAGGCTACCAGATGTACCCTGCTGATAACAAATGGAAGGTCTTCCATCAAATCGTTCTTCCAAATTCATGTCGGAAGCATGTTTTGAGTTTGGCACATGAAACTCTTTTGGCAGGTTATTTGGGTGTACACAAACCCTGTGACAATATTCTGTCCCATTTCATTTGGCCTAATTTGCGGCATGATGTGGCTGACTATTGCAAAACATGCCATTGTGTCAAATGGTTGGCAAACCTCATCAGAAAAGTCCAGCAGCACCGTTGAAACCCATTTCGGATTTTGAAGAACCTTTCATTGATTGGGTTGGTCCTTTGCCTAATACTAAGTCAGGAATCAGTACATGCTTACTATCACGTGCGCTTCCACAAGGTTTCCAGAGGCTACTCCTTTACGAAACATTACAGATCAGGTTATTATCATGGCTTTTGGAAAGTGTTTCACCATGGTTGGTTTTCCCAGGACTATTCAACAGTCAGATCAGGGCTCTAATTTCATGTCGGGTGTTTCCACAGTTAGGCATCTTGGATATTAATTTTAGTGCATTTCATCCTGAATCTTTAAGGGAACTTAAAAGAGGTTCTTTTGAACCTTGTCTTTATACATACTGTTCATGGACCCTTAAAACACTCGAAGGAGCGTTGGCTATATGATAAGTCTGAAATGACTTTGTTGGAGTAAGTCTCATCATTTCGGTCGATGCTTTCAAAAGCTTGTGATGTTGGTAAGGATCACTTGAAGGAATTTCAGGACAAAATGAAAGTACATTTTGACAAAAAGTCTCAAGACAGAAATTTCAGTCATTGCGATAAAGTCTAAGTGTTTTGCCAATTCCTGGTCAACCATTACTTGCTAGCTACCATGGTCGGTATGTTATTGACCGAAAAGTCCGTGATATTGACTATGTTGTACAAAAAAAACAGGCCATCGTAAAAAGACAATAGCTTTGTCATGTAAATATGATCAGAAAGTATCATGAAAGAAATGACAATGTACCTACTCGGTATTTGCCACTGTTTCTCCTGTGGATATGGTATCAGATGGTAGCACTTATAAAGGGGGAGCGCGTTGTGGCACGGTGTAATCTATTGCTTAACAATGGTTGTAACTGTATTTAGATGCTCGAATTATCTCTTCCGGAAAAGCATGGATGATGTCAAGCGTTATAGAAACATGTAGAATATTCTGTGATGTCTGGAACTGTGTCAACTCCAACTTATCAACCCAGAGTTCCAGCCTTGGCATATGTCGGAAGCTTGACAACTGTTGTGGCCCAGTGATTATTATTTTTGTCATTGTCATTTTCATTGCTTTCACATTTCATACTGCCATTGAATATTGTACTACCACTCTATTTTGTACTACCGCTGTAGTTGATGTGTGGTAATATGAATTAATTTATAAACCTAGGTAATTTTGTAATATAATTTTGTACCATTGGTTGGTTGTGTTTTGGTTTCACACTAATTCCTGATTGTAAATAATTTATTCAGTTTGTCTTAATCACTGATGACGAATTTCACATCCAACAATATGTTGAATCAGTTTGTGTTGACGAAAACCTTTATTTTGTTAAACTAGTATTGTCAGACCCAAATAGTTTCAAAACTGAGATTGTGTATTCAACTCCTGTAAACACAAATTACTTTAAAAGGAAAAATATCTTTGGCGTAAATGCGCGGATGTAGATCAAAGATCTGGTTTTCTGATACCTAAACAGACTATACCGATATCTCAGGAACGATGAGATACGATGACATGCATCAACCAAGTCAGCGAGCCTGACAACCCGATCCCGTTAGTCGCCTCTTACGACAAGTATAGTCGCCTTTTACGGCAAGCATGGGTTGCTGAAGACCTATTCTACCCCGGATCTTCACGGGCCGGATCAGTAATAACAACAGGTGTTCACGAAAAGGGTAAGCATGTCCTGCCCTATCGGAAGCACCCACAACTCACACAATTTTTACTAAAAAGTAGGTTTGTAGACTGACACCGCCCAGCAGTACTCCCGTCATGCGACGGCGGCATGTGGGCAAACCAGACAATCATGTTATCGTACACGTGATCTTGATTTGACTGGTCTCCGGACAAATTACCGAGTGAATAGTTTTGTCAATACCACAATAACTCCACTGTTTTCGTGACTGCCATAACAAATGTCTGTGGTGCTATTTTGAACACTTCTCATCAAAACGATGAATCAAATTTGCGATGAAAACTACATAAATCTACAGTTTCTTAAAACTGATGAGGTGAGATGAAATGGGATTTAACGTCGCATTCAAGATTACTGAACTTACATGTACATGACGTGCATGCACGTGTGTGTGTGTGTGTGTGTGTGTGTGTGTGTGTGTGTGTGTGTGTGTGTGTGGCTGCTTGTACTGCTCTGGACTGATGCCGATTTATAGTGCTACCCCACTGAGATACCAATCCGCAGTTTAACTTGAATACCCCACTCAGATACAGTATACTGACTCCGACCTCTAGACCACGGAGGCGGTCCATATTTTCATTCTATGACATATCTTATTTTGTAAATATCAAACATTTTAGCTAATTTCCGTTTATCAGATTATATTGCCAGGCATGTGTACAGAAGCTTTCATCCATGACAAAAACAAACCCCAAAAAGAAATCAACGAACTTAACATTTGAAAATTTCTTGATTAATCCTAACCATCTTGAAAGGTCATTAAGAATGAACAAAAATGTCTATTTTCGTTTCTTAAACATGATATGTAACTGTGTGGGCAGATAAGTTCCAAACATACCTTAGATCCTATAACCTGGGAATGTATTCCTCACTACACATGGAAGAGCCAGAGTGAACAAGCGACTTCAGATCGATCTCGTTTCCCTCTCACTGCCGTGGATTAGGCCAGTTGAAGCAGCTGGCTACAACACGGAAGCTGACCGATCCTAACTCTCGCCAGCAAAGACCCAAACGTCAGGAGCGTAGCAGCCAATCACGACGGTGCCATTCCGTCACGTCTGTCCCCTCCCACAAACACGCCCCATCTTCTTCAGATATAGAGACAGTCTTGATAATGTTTTTTTTTCTCAGGTCATCATTGTCGTACGTCAACAGAAAGTTTGCGTCATTTCAATAAATATTTGTTGATGTACGATATATGTCTGATCATACGGCGATACTTTATCCATGAGAGTATAGGTCGGGGGTTGGGTATGGAATCCTAGAAGGGAAACGATGCAAAATGTCTGCAAAAAGTTTCAGGCATATTCTGATAATCCCTGAGGCTGTCGAAAAAAGATGCAGGTTATACATGACTTGCCACGGAGACACAAATGTAGAAAACGTGCGAGTGGTCCAGTCCACAAAGACGCCGCCATTCGCTGTGCAGTGTTGCGTCACTTGGGCTCGCCGGAAACCTATAATTATGGGTTCGAATCCCAGTTCGCCCAGATAATGTTTCTATTACAGCACCATACCACGCTCGTGGGTTTCACCAAAATGGTAAACGCCTAAGACCTGCATTACTTCGGTCTTTCCTCCCACATTAAGCTGACATGCTGTGATATAACAAGAATACTGTTCAAAGCAGCGTTAAACCCAACTCACTCACTCACTCACTTATATGTTATCCACTCGTGGTAGATATGACATGTTGATTGTAACCATGACAATATCGCCTGTCAACCGACACTGAGAGGAAGCAGCATTGTATTGGACAAGAAACCATTGATGGAAACCTAGTCAGGGTTCAAATTAACAATGAGTTCGTGACACTTAGATAACAGTGTAACCAAGATTTAACCCTGCTTTACACCCACACCCTCGCGAGATAATAATTGGTTAGTTATATCCGACCTTTTGTCATATCCAACCATGCTTTATCAATATTAGGACTATTGATAAGTTGCAGATGTGCCTACGGAATGTTTCATGATTACCCTTATGTACATGCTAGAATGCGAAATAGATGATCGATCGTTATTACGCTAGCCAGCGCAGCCGAATAGACAAATATTATTGTGCTAAATATTGGAGATACGATGTGTACCTTATAGGGAAGTTTTGATCTTAAAACGCTCAAGATTACACTCTCGCTTGTATTCTGGTATTCTAATTACAATGCATTGACAAGAGGAAGGAAACGTTATGAATATTAATAAGGAATTTAATATTACATTTCACACACATTTCTGAGGCTTATGCTATGTGAGAGTGAATACTGCTTGACGCCGTAGTCAACTAAACCCAAGGTACATCCCGACGGCCTGCGAATAATCGAGTCCCGACCAGACGCACCGATCACCAGTGCACAAGGATCCATCCGTATGACACAATAAAATGTAATTGTCGCCAAGCCTGTGCACCCGATCCATTTTAGTCGACTCTTACCACAAGCACAATTTACTTGGGAATAGACCCGTGAAGATCCGGGGCAGAATATATATAGATCTTCAGCAACCCATGCTTGCCGTAACAGGCGACTATACTTGTCGTAGGAGGCGACTAACGGGATGGGGTGGTCAGGCTCGCTGACGTTTTTTTATGATTTGTTTTCTTTTTGGAGTACACAAACAATAAGTTACATACATACAAGTTGCAAAGTATATCTATAGATGATAACAAACAAAAACTATTCCAGTGTCATATTGTTGGATTGTGCAAGTTCGTGGGTTTAAACGAATAGGTGGTGACAGAGAGACCAAAATGTCATGAACTGTGTGTATTTACATTGTGAATATGATATATTTCGGTCGATGTAATATGAATCGGTTATTTCTTGTTGATGTGTGGGAAATTTAATATGGAGTCGGAAACGTTTGATTTGAATATGTTTTGCTGTGTTAAGTTATAATATGATTTAATACATCATTTCGTTTTTGTTGATATCCTAATAAAATTGTCAATTTTGAAAATTCTAGCTCTATTCCAGTTTTGTCTTTGATCCATTTTGTAAGGTTGTTCCAGATATGTTTTACAATTTTGCACTCAAAGAACATGTGCACTAAGGTTTGTTTTTCTCGTTCACAAAAATTGCAAAGAAATTATTCTTTATATCTCATTTTGTACAGTAACTCGTTTGTTGGTAGAATTCTATGAATAATACTGTATTGGAACCATTTATGTTTTGAGGACACATTATATCTGTGGGGGCTACGATTAATCGTTTGCCAATCATTTTCCGTCATATCAAGGCCAAGATCTAGATCCAATCTTTGAATGTATTTTTGGGATATCATATTATTGGATACTTTATTTAATATATCATAAAATACCCAACATCCCCACTAAATATAAAATGTCAGTGATGATATAACCAGTCTAGATTATTGGCGGAAATAGATTCCTTTCGGCGTAAAGGGTAAAATAGCTGTGACAATTATATAAATGGACCACCGAAAATCAGTGATGACACCAGGTGTTCGCGACAAGGGTACGTAAGTCCCGCCCTTCCGGTTACACCCACCACCAAAACAATTTGCATAAAAAAGTAAGTATTTTTGGCTTGACGCCGCACAGCAGTACAAAAACAGTTTGAATACTATAAATACATCTGAATGTGTTGAAAGAATTTCAAAATACAATTTGCCTCAAATAAAAATCAACTACTAATTGTCCATCCCCATGAACAATACGCCTGTGTTTCCACGTGCAGGATTCTAGAAGAAATTCAATTAAGACTGGGATCGTAATGCCGCTGCGGCAGCGGTCTGTTCCATCCGGGTATAATGTCTGTGGAGGTAGTTTCCCCTCACAATGGATCAAAGTTTCGTGTAAAATGAACACATCAAATACTGAATTAAGAAGCCTACACTCTACGTGTGACATGTAATTATTTGTTTGATGTACAGCTTTGCTTTTCATCTTCAATCAGTGTGGAACGTCATTAGTCCTGGCGTTACGTCGACGCCTGCCGTGAAGGAAATAAAACAAACTATTGTTGGCATTTCATTGGTAATAGTTTTTCAATCGCGCATCTCTCAAAGGTGTAAGGAAACAAAAAGTTAAAAGCCCCATTAAACATATTGGCTTTCCTGTTTTATGTTTCAATTTGTAAATCACTTTTAAAGGCGTCTTGATGACTTAATATTTAAGATGTACATGAATGAATTTGATAATGTCTTGCAGTCTGATTTCAGTTACATGAATTTGGTCATGTCTCTTGCAGTCAAATTTCAGTCACTAATCTATCATTTGCTTTCGACTCCAGTTTCAGCAGGGTTAAACCAACGGGTAACCTAGACCTACATTGAAATACAATTTCTTTATCTCCTTGATCTAATTAAGTGTCTACTATATCAGTTAATGCATTCATTCGCACAGATATCATTTTTAAGTGCTCCGAAATCGTCTGAAATGGCTTCTGAATCTTTCTCATTCAGTATAATAACGTTATGTAATAGCTGGTTTAAGTATCAAAACCATGCGTCTCACATATGCAGTTATAGGTTGTTATTGTTTGATATTCACAGTCGGAAATGGTAATGCACTGGTGGAAGGACACGGATAATGCAAGGGCAGGAAAGGTCATACATAAAGAAGGAAATTGAAATACATTTCACCAACATTTCTGAAATAATAATCCAAACAAAACGAGAAGGAAAGTTTCAGTAAGCGTCTGATAACTACGGTGTTTTATGGTTGATCAATAAAACTGTCGTCAATGTGCCGGGATGCAATCAATATCGATGGGTGTGATCCGCAGGTGTAAACGCTATTCTCGTATCAAGGAATGACTTCGTTATTTTTAACGTCACACTGAAATGCCACCAGTTATAGCGTTTTCTGCAATATTTAAGTTCACATTATCTAATAATTGAGGTTAAAAGTTGACGAAACAACATGCTTCATCTTCTCTCATACCGAAAATGAACATCTTCATGTTGTGCACCTGATGTTGTTCATGTCCTGGCGTCATGCACCGCCCTTTCGACAGATCTCCTATATAAAGTCTAAAGGTGGAAATGACATCTGACAATATTAGCCAAATATTCACCACATATCCAGAAAACTTCGTTTGTAATTATCCTCATTAATCAGCCGTCCTGTCTACAACACAACGGCGTCTGGATCAGACATTACAGTGATAACCACCATTTGTATCGATCAACGCAGTTCGGATACAATGACATGCAATGACTCAAGTTACCGAGCCTGACCACCCGATCCGATCAGTCGCATCTCACGACAAGCATAGGTTGCAGGGGACATACATTCTTATGTGGACTCCCCCAAGGGTTGTTTATAGTGTGAGTTGGGGCTTACCAATATTCAAGCAATATCACGGCCAGCGACACTCAGAAAATGGACCCACATACCCCCATGTGGAGAATAGAACCCAGTCCTTTAGTGTGAGAAGCGAACGCTTTATCGACCAGGCTACCCCACTTCCCCCATTCATGTGAAGAGAGGCCATGGAGATCTACACTTCATGTTGAGTTTCTTTGTAATTGTAACTGTTTGTCATTTTTTTCTTCAGACGAAATAAACATTTCGGGTGTTTTATCATCATATTGTTATGAACATTAGCAGAATCTCCAACGATAGGAGTTGAGTCCAAGAGCAACCACATTGATATGGTACTAACGGAATAACTTTATAATTCTTACAAGGAGTCGACGGGAATACATCAGGTCTGTCCAGATCAGCGGAAAAAGCTGTTCTTGGATTTCATAAATATATTTTATATTACACAGTATTCATCACATACATGTATATGTGGATGTACTTTATGACGCATGTATGTAAATATGACTGTCAGGAGGACGCAGATATCAGTAGTATTAATAGGCTGGCTTGGATGTAAAGTTACTCTTGAAAGACATTCACAGATTGGGGAATATATATGTCATGTCATGCTCCTTTTGCAGTGTCTGAGTTCTAACTAACTCAGGCTAAGAATACAACACACTACACATAGACCTAGATCAA